CTGCTCAATGCGGAGACAGAAATGGTGACATGGGCTGTAAATCCATAAACCTCTGACCCAGAAATCCTATAATACCTAGTAAAACTATAAACAGAACAATGGAAAAATTAAGTAATTATGTCCCATTACCTCAAAATAACACCGCTGTCTCTCTCTTTCAAACAGGCAATCTAGTTGCCTGAAATCCATTTTTTTTTTTCCATTCTATCACCCTGGGTAGAGTTCTGTGGTGTCATGGCTCACAGCAACCTCAAACTCTTGGGCTCAAGTGATCCTCTTGCCTCAGCCTTCCGAGTACCTAGAACTATAGGTGCCCACCATAATGCCCAGCTAGTTTTTTTCTATTTTTAGTATAGACTGGGTCTTGTTCTTGCCAGGGCTAGTCTTGACCTCCTGAGCTCAGGTGATCTCCCTGCCTCAGCCTCCCAGAGTGTTATGATGACAGGTGTGAGCTACTACGTAGACCCAGCCTGCCTGAAATTCTTAACACTAATCATTCATATGCTTGGGATAAGAACCTGAAGACTACTTTTAAAACACAAGTAAGTGTGTGTATATATGATATTTGGTAGTACAATAAATTAACATCTATTAATAAGATATTAAAATTGATTATTAGATAAGCTAGTAACTTATCTAGCAAGGAGAATGGGATAAAGCACCCATTCTGTTCTAAAATTTAAATGTGGTTTAAAGGTCAGGTTAGGAAGGTGAGGAAAGAAGAAGGGACAGGAGTATGCATTAGGCTCAGACCAAGGGGACTGCTAGAGCAGGAAGCTGGTAAGGGGCTCCAAAAGGACAATCCTTGTCATCTTTACAATTTTGTGTATGGCTAGTTTTACAGTAAACATAATAACAGTATACATATTTACCAAAATAATAGCTGCTGGTTTTTTTTTTTTTTTTTTTGAGACAGAGCCTCAAGCTGTCTCCCTGGGTAGAGTGCCGTAGCATCACAGTTCACAGCAACCTCCAACTCCTGGGCTCAAGCAAGTCTCCTGCCTCAGCCTCCCAAGTAGCTGGGACCACAGGTGCCTGCCATAATGCCTGGCTATTTTTTTTTGGTTGCAGCCATCATTATTGTTTTTGGTGGGCTCGGGCTGGATTCGAACCCGCCACCTTAGGTGCATGTGGCTGGCGCCTTAGCCACTTGCATAACTGCTATTTTTGACTGAAGAATCCATTTATGGGTTCCTGAAACAACTACTGTAAGAAGAAAATATAAATTCCCCAATAGGTATCTTCTTACTAATTGAAGCTATAATAAATAAAATTGGGGATTTATCATCTTCACTCTCTCCATCACTTGCATAATGGGCTGCTTATCTAACAACACACCTCTCAACCTCACACTACGGCACTGAGCTAATTAATTAAAAAGTGTGTTTAAATCTAGCCACCTGTCTTTTGTTTTGCTGCCTACTTAGGTCTTTTCTAAGCAGGCAGAAAATCTCCAACCAGTCTGTTATCACAACCAGAAATGCAAGAGATTAGTGATCACAGAGAGAAGCAGAATCAGTTTACAACTTTTTTAGGCAAGAGAATAGTATTAATTCACAAGCAAGAAATCTGAGGCTCCCTGACCTTAATTTAGAAAACCTGCAGTTAATAATCACATTAGAGTTGGTTTTACATGCCAGACAGTTTTTGTTTCCTCTGTTGTTTTTACAATTTGAGTGTCCTTTGTGGTTACCAAAATTACTTGCTGGAAGGTATATACAATATCAACAGTTAAAATATTTAATCCATAATAAAGTACATCTTACAGTGTAGGTCTATCTAAGTTAAAATGTACTGTGCATCAGTTTTTTAAAAGCTAAAAACATTGCGTAAATTCATTCAGAGTTGAATTTGGCAGTCTAACTCTGGTAATTATGACAACTAATACACTTAATTCCTTTCTTAATGAAGGAACAAAATACATTTTTCCCTCTAATCTGCCAACCGAAATAGAGACTCATATAACTCCCATCACTGGCACTCACCTCACTCCCCGAAAGGTCAATTGTTTCTTGAAGGAAAGAGAACTAAGCCTGAAGCTACAAACTTCGGCAAGGAAAGGGGGTCACAACAGCTGTTTAGAGCAAGGGCGGACTGGTCCAGTGATCAGGTCAGAATGCAGAGGTTGTGATGACACCCAAATGAACCTGACTTCTTTTTCATAATCAAATACTTAATGAAAACAAATCTAATCAATACCAGAAGCCAAAAAGAAGTGCAAGTGATCTTTTAAAGTGTGGTTAACTTTCACTTAACTTCCTACTGAAGGAACTGTACTAGTTGAACCCATCCCTTTCAGCTGCTTTGATGTGACTCACAAGTCATCATGGTGTGTCAGTTACTAAATGAGTTAGCTCAGTCATCAGACAACTGTTCTCTTTTTCTGTTCTATGCGTGTGTTACTGAAAGAAATGTATGGTCCAGGTGTAGAGACGATGCTCACAGAAAGAAAATGCAGTGAGTCTACACTGACGTAGAAGTTACAATTGCTTTCTTTTTGGTGCCACAAAAGTATAGGTAAATAAATAAAGATTTATTTTCAAGGTACTTTTGGTATTACAAAAACAGAGCTAATACATGGCAAAAAAACAAAACAACAAACCTCAAAAAGTTAGATTTGCCACTTTCATGAGAAAAGGAAAAATTATCTCTTACCCGACATGGAAACGGTCTCCTTTGGATTAAGTCTAAGGGGAAACAATTGAAACATTTGGAATGGATTTGTGAAGTTCAAAAAGAAGTCTCTGTACCAAGACTAGTCCTGTATGTTAAGTATATCCTAGATGTACAAGGTTCTGTTGGTTGTCATTTGTATTCTTAGCATTTTTTAAACTTTCACCTCTCTCTTAAAAATATATACAGAAATTTAACCAGATTTTATGACAACAAATGTAAAATATTGCTTTATTCATTTTCCTATCTGCCTTTAGCATTAACTAGAGAACCTCAAAGAAATATTTTTAGCAAGTTAAAAGTGGCTTGGTGCCTGCTTCTCAGTAGTTAGGGTGCTGGCCACATATACCAGGGCTGGCAGGTTTGAGCCCGGCCTGGGCCTGCTAACCAATGACAACTACAACAACAACAAAAATAGCTGGGTGTTGTGGCAGACACCTGTAGTCCTAGCTACTTGGGAGGCTGAGGTAAGACAATCTCAAGAGTTTGAGTTTGCTTTGAGCTATGATGCCATGGCACTGTACTGAGGGTGACATAGACTTTGTCTCCAAAAAAAAAAAAAAGTTAAAGGTGGCACTGTTGGCTCGGTGCCCGTAGCATAGTGGTGACGGCACCAGCCACATACACCAAAGGTGGTGGGTTAGAACCTGGCCTGGGCCAGCTAAAACAACTGCAACAAACAAAATAGCCAGGCATTGTGGTAGGCGCCTGTAGTCCCAGCTACTTGGGAGGCCGAGGCAAGAGAATTGCTTAAGCCCAAGAGTTTGAGGTTGCTGAGAGCTGTGACACCAACGGCACTCTATCCACGGTGACAACTTGAGACTTTGTCTCAAAAAACAAAAAAATCCAAAATGCTCCAAAGTCTGAGATTTTTGAGTGCCAACAATGCCAGATTAGGGATGCTAAAACTGGTAATAACTTTTTAAAAATTTGTTTCTAAATTAAAAAGTAGAAGTTAATTATAGAAAGAAACTTGACATTTATGATAAGTCTTTACTTTTGGTAGCTGTGTTTAGTAACCATTTTGCAGGTTTTATTTAGTCATTATCAAAAATGACCTCAAGGTATACTTACAGAATTGAAAGAGAAATTTAAGTCTTTGCTCAGTAATAACCCCTTAAGTATTTTTAGATCTACAGGATTTATTTAAAGTGAATTCAATAAAAAAATTTACTATCCTTTATAAAAACATGCATTTGATAACTGATAAAAATAAGAAAAATTCTCAATTTCAATTAAAGTTATTGAGTATTTTGCACATGTCAGGCACTGTGCTAGGTGCCTTTGAAAAGATTTTCTGGGGGCGGCACTTGTGGCTCAAAGGAGTAGGGCCCTGGCCCCATATGCCAGAGGTGGCGGGTTCAAAACCTAGCCCTGGCCAAAAAAGAAAAAAAAAAGAAAAGATGTTCTGCTCTATAGCTCGGTGCCTGTAGCTCAGTGAGTAGGGCGCTAGCCACATACACTGAGGCTGGAAGGTTCGAACCCTGCCCAGGCCTGCTAAACAACAATGACAAATATAACAAGAAAATAGCCGGACGCTGTGGTGGGCGCCTGTAGTCCGAGCTATTTGGGAGGCTGAGGCAAGAGAATTGCTTAAGCCCAAGAGTTCGAGGTTGCTGTGAGTCATGATGCCACAGCACGCTACCGAGGATGGACACAGTGAGACGCTGTCTCAAAAAAAAAAAAAAAAAAAAAGATTTTCTGCTCTAAATTTCCTCAATAAAAGCACTCACAGTGTTAAGTTCAAACCTTTCCAGGTAAATACTTTGCCTTTTAAGTATTAGATATGGCCATTTACTGCCCTCTCCCCCAACACACATACAGAGTTTCTTCTGGTTAAACAATTTGTCAAAATGGGTGGTGAGTATCATCCTTGAAACAAAAAGGCAAACACACATTTGCATCATGAGAATATCACTCATTTAATTAACCCAAACTACCTGTCTAAATACCAAAAGCAATCTGTACTACAATGTTAAAAAGATCCAGCTGAGATAATACCATTCCAATTCTTACCAATTTGGGAACTAATTTTTCCACAGTTCAAGGGGTCATTATAAACACAAAAACTGGCATTGTTTTTGTATGATTAGGTTACAGTATCTTAAGTTTCTAAACACTAGAATTCCTCACCCAGCTGTTAATTGTGAACCTGGGGACTAGCTCACATCTGCTTCTTGCTTATTTCATTAATGGTTTACTTCCAGGTCCTAAAAGGATTGTACCCCCTTAACCAAAAATGTCTGACCCATGTGTGTCTGCCTTCTACATAGTTAGCTTGTTCTGGTTTGTCAGTCTCCATACAATGCAAATCTCAGTGAACTCACATCTGTCACCGATCGACCCAATTCATGGGCAATCTTTTCCCATCGACCTGGGGTCCCTCCTGGGAACTTAACCATACTTCTTGTCAGTTGGCTTAGGTCCTCCTCTGTCCACTCAGGTGCCTGGAAAAACATTAAAAAAAATTTAAGATGGTAATTGAAAAAATGCTTGCTAAAACATTTAACAAGCTGTGAAAAATTATGGGCAATATGCTTTCTGCAACAAACAATACTAAAATGTACCTAGTAGTTTTTAAAAAAGGTTTGAGTTCTAATTTAGCATTAGAATACAAAGCTCCAGTAGCTTTTTAAGTATTCCTATGTATACCAACTAAGAAAGCACTAATATTGCAAAACCCGGTTTTTGAAGACATTAAAAAAAAGACCATTCCACTTTGTACTAAAGTGAGAAACCATTCTGAAAGTCTTTGAAACGAATTCTCCCTATGAAATGCAATGCTGCTCACAAATGCCTCAAGTAACGTTATCACTGAAGGTCTTTAAGTTTTTCTTGTTAAATTATACTTTAAAGAAAGCAAAAAAAAAAAAATCCTGTAAGTATAAATATACAGATCTAAAATCAGTAACTCAGACAATATATTTTTTGTTCATTCTACATTAACAATATTTAACTTTTCAAATGCTAGTATTTTATAAAATTTGGGAAGAGAAATAAAATTGGAAATGTTTGTGAACAAGACTATAAGCCATCATGTGGACATTAAGTAGCAATTTTATTTTTAAGGAGAGGTAAAAAGCTTCTAAAAGTTGACCAAATTATTGAGGTGAATAATCAAACCTTTAAAGATAATAAAACCACACAAGCAAAATCTCTAAAAGCAAATTTTACTCAGCACTACTAGTGATCAAATCTAAAAAAGAAATTATTATCAAACAACAAATAACCATGTTACAATTATTTTACCTTACGTTTTAGTACTAAACTGTCCCCCACCAGAGGGAGTAAACCACTCTGGTATTAAATAATACTCCAGCATCAGCAAAGAAATTGAGGAAGCCTACCTTATTTTCCTTTAATTAAGAAGAAAGAATGAAAGAAAAAGAAAGAGAGAAAGAAGGAAACCTTTGAGACAAATACCTTTTCTAATCACCATTTCCGATAATGAACAGGCACACATCAGGCAGTTTGCATTACAGAACCATCAGCACAGAACAACAGTCAGAGGTGAGTGACCCCAGGGACTATCTCCACAGCTACAGCAAAGCTTCTCCCTGACACTAATCCTCCCTGTCATTCTCCCACTGTGCTCCAACCACACTGACATCCGCCTGCCTCACTGCAAGCTTAACGGGGCCCTTCCTGACTTTTTACTGTCTCCCCCAATCAATGGTTCAAGCGTGCTCTTTTCACCATGTCCAAATGGCAGCTTCACTCATAATCAAAGTGCACTGCCCCTGTTAAAGGGCTTTCCGAAAGGCTCTCCCATTTGCATTCATTTGCAAAGCAAACTACTTTTATTCACTTTGTTCTGCTATCAAGAATGTTCCCTGAAGCAGATAAATTGGCATAAATACAACCTGCCACTTAAGAGTCAGTAAATAATAGCCAATAGTAGGGAGGATTTTATCAATCATTCTATTTTGTATCCACTAAGAGCTGAAAGCCTCAAACATATTCATCAGTACAGCCCCTACAATACACGCATAAATTCACTTATATAAAAAGGTAGCCCACATTGGGTCTGGTTGGAATTTCTTTGATATTTAATGAATATCAGAAATCTAATTCTCCATATCGGGTAATTTAAAAATGTACATGGAGTTTTTTTTTCTTTCTGCTTCTTTATTTTTACTTTATTCAAATACTATTTAGAGGAACATAATTGGATTTTCAAGGAAATCAGAGCTTTACTGCTAAAAAGCTGAAGCTGTAGTAAGTATGCCAATTGGTTTCAGAAAAGCAAAAGAGTTAAGTTTTAAGTAGAATTTAAATATTAACTTTCAGTACAAAATCACACCATGAAGAACATTAAGTTGAAATTGCATAAAGATATACATTAATACATTCAAACCATATAGTATATCAGTGCAATTTCACACGAAATCATCTACTTTCTGCATTCATTTTAAACATTTCTGCAGTAAACAAAATTGTCAAAAATATAATCACTGCTTCAGAGAGTAAATGAATCCTTTAAAATAATTTCTATTTCTAACAGATTGGCTTTCCAATTATGCTGCATATATGAACACTGGACTTTACCAACCAATCTGATTTTAATTCCTTGTTAATGACGGTCTAAAAGTGTAGTACACCACTCTTTTTTCTGGAACAGTAAATTTTTAAATAAAATATGGATTGATAGCCTGAAAAAAGATCACCCACCTGCTATGACAATCTTTTCTTTTCATAATTATTTCATGGCTATAATTTTCATTATTAATTTTTTAAAAAATCAATAATAATTAGGACCATAATCTGAAATCTGAGAGAACCCTCTTTAGCAATTCATTATTCTCTCTCCTACAGCTGTACAGCACTTTGGTGAATGTGTAATTCCTCAGCAATAGCTGGTTGTGTCTTTAGAAGTAACAGAGCATACTGTGTGATCCAGCTACTACAGCAGCCATGAGGGTGGCCATGGTGTGAATGTATTCTCCCTGTTCTAATCTGGAGCCGACTGTAGCCGTGAAAGTCAAATGAATGCATAAGCACACTGCTTTGCCACTTAAAACCATGTGTGTCCAATATTACTGCAACACTGGGCCAAAATTCATCTCTACAGTAAAGTAATGGAAGACACCACATGGTGTGGGGACAGCTGTTGTGACTACATAAGCATCCCAATTTTGCATCAGAAAAGCCTATGCTGGGAATAAATCTCCATACTAAATACAAAATAAAAAGTAAGTTTTCAAGTTATTCAATATTTTTAAGTAATGACCCCAAAATATATTTGCTATAGAACTGATATGGAATTTAAATTGTATTCCCCAAAATGTCCCTTTGAAATAGATTTTTGCCATAAAACCTGCTTTTTTAAAGGATCTGGTGCCTTTGAAAATTCTTTGTTCATAGAATTCTTGGCCTTTCAGTATTGGAGGCTGTAGGGCTATATATTTTTATAACTACTTATATAAATAGATGCTCCCCTCATAGCTTTGGTCTACACAATGTCAATTAAAAATATCACACAACTTATTTGGTAGTGAAAAATTATGGCTAAATTAAAATTAAAATTAAAATGTACTTATATTTTCACACTTTAGTGATAAATGACCCATTTTTATCTAATAAATACTGAAACTCTCTAATGACCAGTATTTCTATTGAAATAATCTATTTATAACCATTGTTTATATAAATATAGAAGTTAACATTTTGGATTGATTCAACTACTTTTAACAGATTCAGCTCCAGCTCACAAATTCTCAGAAATTTTACTCAAGGAAATAATCCTTACATAGCATCACTCACTTAACATATCAGATGTATATCTAATAATGGGGATGGTCTATCTAATAATTTAGTTATTTATTGCCTTCTAACTTTACATTTTGTATAAAAATTCTGTTTCAGTCAGTGCATTTAGTTTTCAGCTATACGATTTTCCTTTCCAACTTAAAAATTGTGGAGTCAAGTGCTCATGGCAAATACATAAATATATATATACATATATAAATACATATGTACATACATATATACATACATACGTATTACATGTATACACATATATAAAGAGTGGTATGTTAAAAAATAAAAACAAAATTTAAAGCAAATTACCTCAAATGTTTTTCACTCTTGGAAAGAAATTCTCCTTGGCGGCCCTTTTTCCCTGACTTGCTGCTGGCTGTCTTTAGACTAGGTCCTCACATAGCCTTTCTTCTGTTTAAGTGTACATGTGTGAGAAGTGTCTCTTCCTCTTCTTTTTTTTTTTTTTTGAGACAGAGTCTCAAGCTGTCCCCCTGGGTAGAGTGCAATGACATCACAGCTCACAGCAACCTCCAACTCCTGGGCTCAAGCAAGTCTCCTGTCTCTGCCTCCCAAGTAGCTGGGACCACAGGCGCCTGCCACAACGCCCGGCTATATTTTTGGTTGCAGCCGTCGTTGTTTGGCAGGTCTGGGCTGGATTCGAACCTGCCACCCTAAGTGTATGTGACTGATGCCCTAGCCACCTGAGTCACAGGCACTGAGCCTCTTCCTCTTCTTAAGAATATTAATCTAGGCTGGGCATCCATGCTCAGTGGTTAGGGTACCAGCCACATGCTCTGGGGCTAATGGGTTCAAACCAGGCACAGGCCTGCTAAACAGAAAAAAAAAAAATAGCCAGGCTTTGTGGCAGGCGCTTATTGTTCCAGCTACTAGGGAGGCTGAGGCAAGAGAATTACTTGAACACGAGAGTTTGAGGTTGCTGTGAGCTATGATGCCACACCACTCTACCAAGGGAGACAAAGTAAGACCGTCTCAATAAAAAAAAAAAAATTAATCTTAGGTCAGATGTGGTGTTCATCCCTATAATCCTAGCACTCGGGAGGCCAAGGTGGGAGGATTGCTTGAGCTCAGCAGTTTGAGACCAGCTTGAGTAAGAGTGAGACCCTATCTCTACTAAAAATAGAAAAACTAGCTGGGCATTGTGGAGAGCTCCTGTAGTCCCTGCTACCTGAGAGGCTGAGGTAGGAGGCTTGAGCCCAGGAGTTTGAAGTTGCTGTGAGATAGCCTGACACTGTAGCACTCTAGCCTGGACAAGAGTGCGAGACTCTGTCTCAAAAAAAAGAAAAAGAAAGAATATTAATCCTATATCAGATTAGTGACCTACCTTTATAACTTCATTAATTTAACCTTAATTACCTCATTAAAGGCCCTATCTCTAAATAGAGTCTCACTAGGGGTTAGAGGTTTAACATATGAATTTGAAGTAACACAGTTCCATCCATAACAGGGAGCACGCAAAATAAACAAAAACTGAAAACAGAAGTCCACAATTTGGCCTAATTGGTAATCTGAAAATTACTAAAATAATTTATACAACAAGTAGATAAAAAGGAGAGGCATTTGTGTCTTTGTAACATCTGATGAAATATCAGATATCACATATTAATGCCTTTAATCAATATTGGGGATCCCATAAAACTTGAACAAGGCACTCTCTACAATTTTAGGG